ACCCCCCGCTCCACCACAGGAGTATTTTGGGAGGGGCTGGACGCATCCTTCCCCGGGGCACATTCCCGAAGGCTTTTGAGTCCGCCTCTGCGACGACTGGAATGCGTTCCACTGTGGTTCACAGCCTTCGAGGGGCAGATGGGTTTGCCCAACACGGACTCTGAATTTTGAAGGGTCCTGTGGAAATATGGCCCCTGGCTGGGGCTGGTTCCCTGAAGGTGAATTCGCTACTGGTTTCCCTGGGAAACCTTGTTTAATGAAGGTGCCAGGCACTCAGTGCCAGGGAAGGCAAACATTCCTTATCTCCACTGGGACCCCTTCAACAGGAGTTCACTGTGCAATGAGCCTATCCTGGTCCCCCCACCCCATTCTACTCCCACCCCCACCCCAAATCCCCACCTTCCACTTGGCCAGGTGACCCCTCCCATCACTGCAGCATCACTTGGTCTCTGCGGTCACTACTGTTTCTTATGTGACCCCTTTATGAGACTGTGAGCTCTCTGGGGCTCTGCCATCTGCGCAAACAGCTCAGAGGCTCTCCCCGATGGGCGCTTAATCAACAGTTGTTGGATAAATAGTGAATGAGATTGTGGTTTAATCCTCACATCAACCACGTGACGTGGACGAGGCCTGCGTGGCCAGCTAGCTGGGGACAGAATCCAAATCTGTAAAGCAAATCTAATCATATTGGTTTTTCAGGTTTGCAATGAGCCAAGGGAGACTGGCAAACACATCTGTATTGTATCGCAGAGTGAAGGTGCTCAGGTGCAGCGGGGAGAGCCTGGGGGCGGGGCATGGGCCCTGTCCAGCCCTTCACAGTGAGTGGTCACCTGGGTGCCAATGCCCTGCACATGTGTGTCCTGTGCATAATAGAGACGCTAGGTGAAAAAGGAATCCAGTGCTTCTAACCTATTAGGATGAGCACCGTTGATTGAAATTGTTTCCCCTACCTCTATATTTGTACATTTATTTCAGGATGTAAAATGCATTTCTTACTACGGTTATATCACAGAAAGAGTTTGAAGTTCACTGGATCATGCTGGAATTATTTTTGTTTCCTTATACTCTATGGTTTTGGTTTTTTTTGTTTTTTTTCCGGTACGCGGGTCTCTCACTGTTGTGGCCTCTCCCATTGTGGAGCACAGGCTCCGGACACGCAGGCTCAGCAGCCATGGCTCACGGGCCCAGCCGCTCCGCGGCACGTGGGATCTTCCCGGACCGGGGCACGAACCCGCGTCCCCTGCATCGGCAGGCGGACTCTCAACCGCTGCGCCACCAGGGAAGCCCTATGTTTTTCAACTTGGTAGCGATCCATAATTTTCTTTATATTGTTCTTAGGTATTGTATTAGTCAGGGCTCTCCAGAGAAATGAAACCAACAGAAAAAATGCACATATACATGTACATAGAGAAAAATATAGGACATATACATAGAAAAAAATATATAAGAGACAGAGGGGGAGAGAGAGAGAGGATTTATTTTAAGAAGTTGGCTCCTGTGATGTGAGGGTTGGCAACTCTGGGGCAGCTGGCAGGCTGGAAATCCAGACAAGAGTGGATATCGCAGTGTGAGCCCAAATCCTGCGGGACAGCGGGCTGGAACCTCAGGCAGGGTTTCTAGGATGCAGCCTCAAGGAGACTTCCTTCTACCTCGGGGACCCTAAGTCTTTGCTCTTAAGGCCTTCAACTGACTGGTTGCAGCCCACCCACACTGTGGAAGGGAATCTGTGTCCCTCAAAATCTGCTGATTTAAGTGTGAATCTCATCTAAAAAAGACCTTCACACGGGCTTCCCTGGTGGTGCAGTGGTTGAGAGTCCGCCTGCCGATGCAGGGGACGCGGGTTCGTGCCCCGGTCCGGGAAGATCCCACGTGCCGCGGAGCGGCTGGGCCCGTGAGCCATGGCCGCTGAGCCTGCGCGTCCGGAGCCTGCGCTCCACAATGGGAGAGCCCACAACAGTGAGAGACCCGCGTACCACAAAAAAAAAAAAAAAAAAAAGAATAAAAAAAGACCTTCACAGCGACATCTAGGCTGGAGGGTGAAGGAACACCTAGCCAAGTTGATGCGTAACCTCAACCATCTCAAGTATTCAGGCCTCCGTCTGAATTTTGACATCTTCCCTCGTCATAAAGAAACAAAAGGACGTCACAGCGCTGGTATTTTCACTGGCACGATAAGAATGTGTAGACGGGTTTGAGCGGCCTCTGTGGGGCTCTTTAGTCTACTCAGGGGTCCTCAGGTGCAGGCCCCATTTTGGGCCCTGTCCCTGCGGGGAGTAGGACAGTCGTCAAACCACAGGGCTGGGCTATAGCACTTCTCAGGCTGTCTGGCAGCGATCCGACCAGACAGTGAGCTCCTGGACAGCAGGGACGTGTGTCCGTCACATCCGGGTCCCCGGGACCCACCAAAGGCTGGGCCGGTGCAGGGAGAGGTGGCAGCATGGGCGCGGGGGTCTGTTTCTCCCCCATCATCTGGGTGGTGGCTGTGGAAGAGGGCAGGGCGGAAGGAGGGGCCACAAGACAGGCCACAAAACACACCTGGGTTTATCTCAGGTCGAGTCAAGATGCAAATGCAAAATAAAAAAGCGTCAAAGCATCAAAATACTAAACATGCTCTTAAGTTTCCCCTGATCCCAGGTGAGGGGAGGTGCATTTATTCTCCCCCTCGCCTTTCGCCAAGTTTTGCTGGTCACTCAGCTGGAGACCACATTCCCAGCTCCCTTTGCTGCTCTTTGCTTGGTCACGTGACAAGATTCTGACCGGTGCTACCTGCAACTCCAGACCTTTCTCTTAACAGGGAGTTGGACAGAACTCTGTACCATTCTCTCCCCTTCCTGGCAGCCTGGCATGGGGTTGTAAAGGTCTGGTGAGGACATGCCACTTAGAGCAAAGCAGAGCTGCCCACCCCCCTGGAA